TCCTCTGCTATGCTTTCAAGTAATTCAGGTGCATGGCTCACACTAGTCTGGCCCACAGATTGGTTTCTGGGAAGTGGGGTTTTCTTCCCTTTACTTCCCATGTTTCTATTCTTCTTGTTTGTTTCTTTTGTGCTGAGGTTTGTGGAAGCTTATAGTCTAACGACTTTGTTGCTAGCTTAGGGATATCTTTAGTTTCTTTGCAGTGATGTAGCTTGGGTGTGGCTTACTATAATCCTTTGCCACAATTCTAAGATTCGACTACCATGGTTATTTTGGGAAAGGATTCAGTGTAGTTAGTCCAGCAATCGTTCTTCAGGAATGTACTCTAGAGTTGTTAATGTCACAAAGGCAATGTGAGTATTCGCTTACAGAGAAATAACAGCAACTATAAAACTTTGTTAATACCAAGCAAAACAGCTGCAGTAGTATTGTCCAAGAAAAATGAAATATTAACATATCATAAAAACCAACCATGTACCACCTTTAATTCTACCTACAGAATAAACCAGCAATTATGATGTAAACCTTTAGGCCACCCATGTATTGACTTACAGCTAATACATGCCAAATTCAACAGCTTTATCTATATTAATGGTAGAAAAAAATTAACAGTAATTTTGCAGAGTTAACTACTAAAAAATCAACAACACTTAATGGTTATACTATTAAAGATCTGAGGTTTGGTTGTGGGGGGCATGAAAAAGGAAGACTTTGAAACTTTAAACTGATATGAGAAGGAGGAAGGCAGTGGCACAAAGGATCTTACTGGGGAGTAGAAGGATGTCTGTAAAATAGCTTACGGTTGTCACCAACAACTTGCAAGAAAGAGAAGATAGAAAAAAGGAGAAAAAGGAAATTATATAGACTAAAAATAGGAGGAATAATTAAAGTGAGAAAATTTAAAAGGGAGAAGACAAAAATAGAAAAATAAAGACATAAAGAGATTGGAAGCAAGGCTGAAGGACAAAGGACTATTGCTCAAGCCCCAAGAAACAGGTGAAGAAGACAGGAGGAAAGGAAAGAAGAAAGCAAAAACAAAACATAACTAAAACAATGCCCATACTCTCAAAACAGACAATCAAACAACCAGACACCAAACACCAAATGAACAAATCCAAACGAAAAAGAAAAAAAGACAAATCTCTGTGATTTTGAGCCTGTAAGGTTATCTTCTAGAGTCTATAGTTTTGTGGCAATGTCCACTTCAAGACATGTTCCTGCTCTTGCTGGTTGACAAAGGAGGAGTCAGAGCCTAGATCTGTGCTAGATATTCCCCAGAAAGCTGGCAGTAGGATTAGGGCAGAGTGCTGGTTCTGGAACTTTCAACTATGGAAATTCAGGCTGAACCTGGCCTCTGGTTGTAGTGGTAGGGATTGGGTGGTTTCGCCTATATGACTTTGGGTATCTCTTGGTATCCTGACCATGGATTGCTAACTAGAGACTGTGGCTGTCCCTCACCAAGTCACTGGAAATTTAGCACTGGGAGGCCTGAGATGTACCTGACCAAAGGGTGTTGAGTCCCAGGTTCAGGTGTCCCCTCCCTAGTATTGTGTCTAACCAAGCACTCTTGTCAGGATATATAGCAAGAGCTTGGACTGGAGTCACTCACTAGCTGTAATAGCGTCAACTGGTCCATTCCACTGGAGCATTTGTCCCTGATGCCTTTGGAGTCCTGCTTTCATGGTGCTTCTGTGGATTTGATCTTCCTTTCTCACAAGCAATGAGTCAGGAGTCAAAGAGAAAGTATATATTGTCTTTTCCATTTTCTGCATGTGTTGTGCCTTCAGTTTCTTTGTAGGCTCCATTTTTTCCCATCAGATTCTTCCTGGCCCAGGGATCCACATCCTTCCTTCTTTTCTTCCCTGAGTTGTTATTTTCTAGTGTCTGGATTCTGAATCTTGGAGAGGCTGATTTATTGTTGCTTACTGCGCCACCATCTTTCTGGAAGTTCTTGATTATCTATTTACATGGAGAAATACCATACTGTAAACCATTCTGAAGTTACCTGTAGTGTTGGAATCTATTTTTGCTTATAGTTGAGGTTGTGGCTGACAATCTATTGACGTTAAGTCGTGCTCTATTATTTCTTGTTTTAGAATCTTCCAGATTAGTGAGGAGACTTTTTTTTTTTTTTTTTTTTTTT